ATCAACTCAAGAAAATAAAAGTGTAGAACGAAAAAGAGCTGCAGAATGCGAGCAAGCAACAATATATCGAATATTATCTAGCGTGATGGTGAGTAGGTGTTGTATATGAGTGTGTCTCTTATCTTCACTCATGTTCTTTATAAAAATTGCAATTTGGAACTTACTGTAGTGCTTTGCAAATATCAAATCATAATAAGAAGAAAACACACATGGAAATATGATTCGAAGTATGTGTTAAAACAAAAAATGCTATGTCATTTGAGCAGTGCATTGCACAAAGAGTAGGAAGATTTTGTGTGAGAAAATGGATTCTATTCTTCAAAAAACATTAATTCTTCAAATTTAAAGTTTCATTTCATAGTTCAAGTTTTCACAAATAATGAATACTAATGTTCACTTAAAACTGTGATCCATCGAAAAAGAAAGATCTTATAAAAATTATTTATTTCTCAGTAATAACGAAATGGGGTTTTGTTTTATTTTTTATACTCGTTCTTATCAATAAATAGACGTTGAAAAGGAAAACGAAATATTTTCGAAACATTTTTGAATTATTAACAATTAGTATTGTGCTAAATACTGTCTATTGTGTAGATACTTTTTATCGAAATGTAGTCTGTCTAATTCTATATCGATCTGTATCTGAAACAGTTCACAGCTTTTGTTGAATTACAGAACAAGTTATTGGATACTAAAAATGTACTAAAGTTTTTTCCTCTGAGCAAACCTTTTTGGATAATAATATCAAAAACATACTTTATATTTTCTGACTACACTGTCATTCATAAAAAATAAAATCCACTCTCAAGTGTTTCAGAACTTGTACTCAGATCTTTACTTTAGAAAAAATTAAAAAAAATGATGATCATCAATGACAGTTTCGAAAAGATGGAGAAAAGAGTTATGAATAAAAAATTATAAAGATTAAGAATTTTTCTTTCACTGAAATAAATTAGATAACAAATAAGAGAGAACACAGCGACAAAATAAGTTCCACTTTTTTTTTTCTGTCTTCTTAAATCAGACCAATAATAATTATCTTCATGTTTTACTTTCAAGTATTGAAATTAATATCTTTGTTTTGAATTCTATAGTTAATAGTTTTCTCGATATTTATATTTATTGCGAATAAAAAACCAACTCAATGACTATTGTCACTATCAAAATAAAATATTGTACTTTACATTAGTAATGAATATTCTGTGTGCAAACTAGTACTTAGCGTGGATCACCATCCCAAATCTTATTGTTCAACATTGAAGATCAGTTTCTTTTCAATTAATCTATCTCAATGAATTTTTAATAAATAATTTCAATCGATAAAACTACTATGTATATTAAGCGACTAAAAAAAAACCTTTAGCAAGTGAAGTTTATCTTTAAAGTTGAAAAATAACACTCAGGAATCTTTCTTATGTGAACGTTTCGAAAGTTTTATCTCAGCAATAGATAAAAACAGAGTATTTATTTGGTTCAATCACATTCTGCATCAACACACAAATCCAAGTGCACCATCGACTATATCAAGGGACACGCGCGCCACTAGAGAGATACAATTTTAGCTGTGTACTAAAATACACAATGCAACAAAACTAATAACTGATCTAACTAGCCGGGGATGGCGTAGTGGTTCTATGCATCTGATTACGGTCAGAGATCAGAAGGTTCGATTCCTTCCCTCGGCACGGTGCATTCGGTGTCAAGATATATGGTATCGGAAGAATAAACAAAAAGAAAAGCAACGATGCACGCTACATCGTCATCATTGGCTCGATTTCGATTTTCATTCTGTTCGTTTTCATTTCTTTGTATTCTTTCTCTGTTTGTTATCATTATCTTGTCCGTTGCATACATTCGTAAGCGTCCACCAAAAATTGTAAAAAATCTCCCAAAAAAATCATGGATGTCACGAATAAAATTCAGCATAATTAAAAAAAAAAAAAAAAAAAAAAAATAACTGATCTAACTGTTTGAAATTGATTTTCCTTCGATTCAATAGTTAATACGATTTATCTGATTTTGTTTTGTCAAACATCAAAATTCTCAAGTATTATTTCTCTTATGATGTTATTGATTATAAATTTTTACCACATTCCAATAAATGAGTGCAATGAGGATATTGGTGTGAGTGTATGTGCGAGCATAAAGATCAAGCTTTCTGTTGCTCATAATCAACATTGTCATGTATGCTAACAACAACATACATTGAAAATCAAAATTCAGAGCTATGAACTTTGATTGAAAATGGATCTAATTGAACAATATTAGAAAAATCTACAATTGAAGTATATTGGCTGTTGATTTTGTTTACGAAAACCTAGTACTTTATTCGAAGTTGGACTTTTATCAAGCAATGAACTAAGCAATTGATGAAGCCTGCATGGTAATTATTGAATTAACCAAGATGCCAATATATTCTGTATTTTGTTCAAGTTTTTTTTCTTTTCACAGCCAGTTTGCACTCTCGGAAAGGCTGACTGTGTACTTCGTGAGAGCCTAAGTTTCAATAAACGGCATTCCCAATTTGATGATTAGGTGTGTGGGCGTAGATGAGTGTGAGTGTGATTAGTTGTGGATGTGTCTGAAAGAAGAAGAACACTCACACTCAAACCCTCAAAGTAGGACGTATAATATGTTGAAATTATACAAAGAGAACTCTAAATTTTCATAGCGCTAGCCCTATTTATTGGGAAGATATATAGCACGAACTATAAAGATATTTGTGCGCCGTGTAATACAATTTTCTATTTATACAGAAATATTTAGAATAATTAGTTTGCATCGACAATACAATATCAACCAATACTATAATTTATTTCTTCATTATCTTATAGTCTTTTTTATTGGCTGAATGATCTTTTGCAGTATTGAATTCATTTAGTGTCAACACCATTACGAACTGAGTTTTTCAGATCTAGTAAATTCTTCCATTACAACATTCTTTCATTTCCAATTTTATTTTTTTCTAATTAGAAAAGAAAAAAATGTTGAAAGTGGAATTGACAGATCAGAAACTGTTAAAAAGATTGATCACAATGGATGACAAAAGATGAGCAAGGGTCATACTTTTATACACAGCCAATTAGAAATGCATACTTTTCATTAACTATACTATCGACATCTAATAAAACTTTTGGCATAGTTTTATTCAACATTACTCTTACAGTATTTCTTGATTTTATTGTCTTCTTCTACACTTTTTTCATGGTCCCATGTAGATCCCAATACTTTCTTATTTTTCGATCATATCAAAAAAATTCTCTACAGTGGGAGCCATGTATCTTCCCTAAAGATAGGGCTAGAGTTATGAAAACTTAGCACACCATCCATCAATTTGCAACATATTATAAGTTCTATTTTGAGCCTTTTTAGATTTGCAATGACAGATAAAAAGAAATTTTTCTAGCAAGCACCGAAACTTTTAGATTACTCTATTGGTATGCAGCTCTAAGATTATAGTCATAAAATATAGTCATTAGAATACACGCAGGAATGCATTGGTATGGGTGTAAAGATAGCGATGTAAGACTATAAGTATGAGGGTATGGTCATTGGAGTACAGATATAAGGGTTTAGATACAAGGGTAGAGGCTTAAGGTCACTCCCCACCTCAAAAACCGATCTCAGCTCGAGCATGATCAAATCGCATAAAATTTTCAGAATATGTTGGGGCTGTAGTGAAGAGACTATGGTAAAATTTTCAGCCCAATACCATAACGTTTGACATAGATATTCACCAAATAAGGGTCACAGATAGCTGATTTGACATCCTAAATACCTTTTTCGACACTCATACAATATATTTAATTTTTTGTAAAAGCATGTCAGGATGTAGGGCACCACATAGCCATTTCTTTTAAATTCTTACTTTTTAAGCAGAGAGAGGGCATCACAAGTGCAATGACTCAAAAAAAAACCCTCAAAACATGGCGATTTAATTATAAAAGTATCTGAGTATAAGTGGGTGTGTGGACGTGTATTCTTTTTTCCGAGAACACCGCTTGCAACCACACCCACCCATACTCTTCGATTCTTTATAAGAAGATATAAAGTTAATTTTTCCAGATATGACATACGCCGAAGAAGAGGTAGAACTGTATTATCAAATAACTTAATTTTCATATAAGATTTTAATGAGAAACATTTCAGATTAGGTAAATTATCCTACAAAATAAAAAGAAATACTTTGTAATTAGAGCAGAAAACTAAATCGCGCACGTTATTAATTACCTTATCTCACCATCAGATTCATATTTCAAGTAACAAAAAATTCCTTCTCAATGAAGACTAATCTTATGGTCAACATTATTTATTAAAGCCTACCATATTATCAACGATTGTTGGAGGGTCATCTACAGAGGTGCAGAATCTGTATGTGTGCGCGCACGCGCGTGCGGGGAAATTTTTTGTGTTTGGGGAAATTTTTGAAAAATTATTGACTGCAGTAAAAATTTTAGGAAATTATTGGCTGCAGGAAAATTCCTGAGGAAAATTAAGGAAATTTTTTTGTACGAATCATGGTATGATCTTGTAATACAGATTCTAAAATTTGTTCTTTAGTAGAGAGCAATTAGTATAACTAATTTTCTTTTGATTCTTTTAACATTCGAATCCAGCGTATTATTCTTTCGACGTGTACATCTCATATATTATATCTTGTTTTACTTTGTTGTGTTCTTCAAATGTAAGTGTTATCAAAGAAATTTGTCCAACTAAGGTTACTGTTAAAATCATTTTTTTTCTTTTTTCTTTATAATACGCACGCCATGCGCTAACAAACTCACATTTATATATTCATCGGGAAATATCACTACTACGTAGCAGATCAAAGAAGAAAAAAGAAAAAAGAGAAGAAGAAAGAAACGATATATATAAAAGACGAAACATTATCTCGAGAATAATAATGAAAAACATAATTGTCGCTTGCTTTTCTTATCGTTCATAACTCTTTGTTGATTTTTTAAATCGAATTGAATCTTTTCTATTTGAACGCATAAAAAATGTATCTAAGTAAAGGAAAAGTAACATGTTTTTATTGTGATTGGAATGGTCGTAAAGACAAGGCGAAAGATCATTGCAAAAAACACCATCCTGATAAAACATTCAAATTAAAGATTGTTGAAAACAACATGGAGAAATTCTTTCAAAAGCAAATAAATCGTGAAACAGCAACAACAACAGATGTTATTAATGATGATATACAAGAACAAGAGGAGCAGTGTTCTACTGTTGTCTCTCCGTCGCTATCTTCATTAAGTAACTTTCATGTATCACCTCCTTCGTCAACTTCTATTTGTACAAGTCCAACAACAAATTCAGTTTCCGATCAATTAGCATTAGTGATGAAACAATTAAAAAAAATGACAAATGCAATTGATCAAATAAGTTTAGAAAAAACAAAGGTTCAATTATCATCATCATCTTGGCAATCAGATGATTTAGAACAAATGTTTCAAAATATCACATGTTCTAATGACCTATATATGCTAAAGTATTTAGAAATAAATAGTCAGTTGGATACCATCACATGTATAGCTTGTTTTAAATTTAAAAAACAAGCACCAAAACATCTGTTAAGTACAATTAAACCCGTATTTGGTGTATTTGAGTATGTTGAACAAAATCCACATCAGATTCAATCCCAACGATTCAGAAGTTTGAAGAGAAATTTAAAATTACATTATGAAAATAAACTTCATATGTGGTGTGTTGAAGAAGACGAAAAAGTCAAACAAGAATTACATGATTTTATTAGAAAAAATAAAAAAGCTGGGTTCAATATTGGTAGGGCAGCGTTATTTTGCATTCAAAATGGTTTAGGTGATCTTAAATTTGTGCACACATTGAATTTATTAGATCTATGTGGTGCTTCTATTGGAACTTATAGGTAATAAAAAAGTTTATTGTAAATAAATTTATATTACTTGGTCAGCATTTTTGTACTTCTAGACATAGTCGATGGTTTTTTCAAGAACTTCGAAATTCTATGGCTACATCTATGAAACAAAGAGTTATGGAATATTTAAAATCAGTCGATCCAATTACACGACAACAACGACCAATTGGTATTATATTTGATAAAGTAACATTGTTAAAAAGGACTTTGCAAGTAACAATGCTTGTCGTAATGATTGATGGACAATTAACACCTATGTATTTAAAATCATCTTTATGTAAAACCGAATTATCAGGTGAAGAATTAGCTGCTAATTGTGTTAATGTATTAAAATCTTTTGGTTTAACTAAATCTATGTTACAGGAAAAATTAACTGGTGGTGTTGTCGATGGTGCCTACATTCATATGAACATAAATGAGCATTTATGTAATAATATAGGGGATTCAACAGAATTGGTTAACAATTTCATGGGATGTTGCTCATTTATTGGAATTGGCAATTGGTGATACACAAAACCAAAAAAAATTTAATTGGTTATAAATGATCATTAAAACTTGTGCTGAAGTGATGAAAAAATATTCGTATGGTAAACGGTATGAATTTCTTATTCAAGCAGCAGAAGAGATACAAGAAGATATTTTACAACCTAAACAATTTCACGTAACTCGTTTCGTCAGTTCTCAGTTACATGTTTATGAAACAATATTGAGAAACTGGAAAACTTTATACGTTTTACAAGAAAAAGATGATGTAAACATGGCATTAGGTCATGGTGATATTAGTACAAGAACGAGACAAAAACTTGATGCTCAACAAAAACCAGGTGATAAAGATGTTGATAGTATAGCGGTAAATGAAATCGAAATATTTTTGTTTCCAAAACTACCTTTTATTTTTAGTCGAGACAAATAAAATCCTTCGATTTTGTTTGTACACTTATTGGTTTGTATGACATATATAGTATACTTGTAGAAGCATCATTATCGGTGCAACAGATAAATAAATATCCATGGGAATATGATTATTCAATTGAATATTTACAAGAACGATTAACTAAATATGAAGAATTATTAGAAACTTTGAATTTTAAATCAGCACAAGATGTTGAAAATTTAGAAAGTAATTTATTGTATTTTATCGTGAATATTACCTATAGCCAAGTATTTTATCTATTCTAGAATTTGATTTAGATAAATTAGTTTATTCAACAGCTACTGATGATTTTGATGTTGATGAAGATGAGTATGACGAAACAAAAGTACAAAAAAAACAATCAATAACTTTAATGAAACAATATTATCATGATTTATTAAAATGCGAATTTCAGCAACTTCCAATCACTAGAAGAGGTGGTGATTATGAATTAGAAGATCCAACTAAACATATACGACAAAAGCTAATCGAGTTATGCCAACATCTATCAGAATCAATTGCTAAACGATTTGAAGATATTCCAGAAATTTTTGTGTTAATGAAAAACTGTTTAGATGTTGCATTTTTATATCAGCAAGCAGTATTGGATAAGACAAACAATTGTTGATTATGGTAAAAATTAATTGCAAAAATTAATTGATTTTACTGTATCAAATTCAAAGAAACTGATAAATGCGCCTGTTATTCAAGATCAATATTTAGAGTGGAAACAACGTTGTTTAAATGAAATACAAGATAAAGATATGTTTAGTGTTTGGACAACTAACGGGAAAATATTTACATCCAAAGTGATGAAAACATTTTACACTAATACAGATTTATCGGAAGGAATAAATGATTTTCTTCATTTTTATTCATTAATGATATTAAAAATTAGAAGTGAAGCTATTTGTGAATCAGCAGCATCGATATTAAAAGGTCATATTCACAATAACCGTTCATTACAACACAAATCTTTGGATGATGAAGTATTTCTTCATTGGAATGCTCCACCGTTGCATTTAGCTGATAAATTTATTGAACAATCAATAGATGATTATTTTATAAACAAAAAGGACAAAACTTGGTTATTTTATAGGAAAAGTGAACAATATCAACCATGGAGATTATTATCTCCTGATTCAATCGTGTTGAATCGTTTCCGAAGTGAACAAGTACCAAGACTACTAGAATTAATTGACGATTAATAAAAATCATTTTTTTTTTAAAAAACCTTCTTTCTAGTTCGTGCTAGCATTATTTCTGTTTTATTGTTTTTTTACATATTTAGTTAAAGATTTGGTTGGGAAAAGATAATTTCTTCTATTTTCATAGTGGGGAAATTTTTGGAGAGTTATTATGCGTGCGGGGAAATTTTTTAATTTTACGGCAGATTCTGCACCTCTGGTCATCTATGTAATGTATCTGAACAATAAGTGTAGTCAATCGTTTGAGTCGACCATCAAGTAAATAAAGACAATCGTCTAAAGCGCACACATCGATACATAATTGAGTAAGAGTTAAAGAGGAAAATGTAGTTGATGGTAAATCAGAGAGTTTCACGCTTGGATATGACATATTGAATGTTTCAGCACTACTCAACTACTCTAAATTTTTACAGAAATTCGAGATATGTGCATACACATTTACAATATAATTTTTGTTGAAAGATATATCGAAGAGGTGATTCGTCTAAATAAAGAAAATGAAATGTTTTTTCAGTCAGTTCCATTTTATATCATTCTTCTTTTGTTATTGTACTTACTTGTAAAATAATGCGAAATGAATTCTTTTTTTGAAATTAAAAAGTTTGAGTTTGTTTAGATTTGGATAGTCGGTAGCAAGAAGAATACGTTCCATTAAAACTGATTTAAGAATAAAATATTCCACATTGTTATGAATTTCGGGCAATATATTGATGCAAAAGCGATCCAGTTTGAAGCGATCAATTGAAGAAATATTAGCAATAAACACAAAATTAAGTATGTTACTAAAGATTTTTTCTTGGACCAGAATGCTAAGTCGTTCATTATTAGTGTTCCATAACGAATAAAGAACATCAATATTGTTGAGTTTCTTCAAAATAATGAGTAATATCTCATCGGATAAGTCCAAAAGATGAACATCAGATCGATTCATATTTATTTTGACTATGTCTTGTTCACAACGCTAAAAATATAACTATATATGTTCATTGTTTGCTTGTAACCGCTGTCGTCATTGCCCAACAGAATAGATAAATTCCTTTAAAAAAGTACGACATAGATGTATGTGCATTACGATTATAGTCATCGAATGGGTTTTTTGTCTTTCAGTCAATTCTTCACACTGAAACACTCGCTTCATCGCCGTCGTTTACAGCAAAATGGAAGAAGACATCACATTAAGAAAAATAAAGAAAATGTTTATCACACAAAAAGCGAATTAAACTTCACTCGCATAATGTATGTTTTATAGGTCATATTTTTTCCAATTGTGCCTAAAATTGAATTTCAAAAGCGATTATATCATACATACAATGAAATAATATATTCTATTGCAGAGCGATAGCCTGCGAGAGTGACTAAAACATAGACAATGACTTCAATAACAAAAATATTGCATAACAATCGACGTTTATTTCACATTCCATATATACGAGAAAGTTAAAATATGTAGTAAAACACAATAGATTATGATGATAATATGTTAAAGTATTGATCTTAATCAAGAAAGATTATTTGTCTCTCTTCTTGTGTTGGCGATAAAATATAAATACACGAAACATAAAATATACTCTTGAAACTATTTTTCGCATTCAATACACAATATAGAGCAATGGAAAAAAATTGATATTGTTCAAAATTTTCGTTTCTTATGCTTGACGAAATCATAGATTTTATCAGCGATATCGGAGAGGAAAAGGTTTTTGTGATTATTCCAAAGCATTTAGCCAAACAATTTATTGCTTCTATTCTTCAAGTAAGTTGCGTTTATATTTTTTTGTGAGGATATAGGTAAACATGAAGAATGAACACAGCAATGGCCCAAGATGAAAGGTGTTTTCAAAAGTATCATGTCTATTTTTGAAGCACTTAAAAATAGGATGCCAAAATTTGCGCCTAAAACTCAATGTCTATCAACTTCATCAAGACAACTGATAGCAATCCGAATATACATCTGGATCAACTTGATCAGCTCTTCATCTAAGCACAAATTCTTAAGGAAATTTTATTTAGCATTGATTTTCAACAAGAACATTTTAATGAGTTTTTTACGTGCTGTCGCCAACTGTTCATCAATGGCAATGTCGTATTAGAAAACGTCGATAATACGGAAAAATAATATCTCCCTCATTAACCAATTTGATAGTATAATTTAATCTCATTTCTAAAATGGGCTTCTTCCTGAGATTTGTATCAATATATCGTCACACTTTGTTTCGAACAATAAGGTGAACATTTTCATTCGAACTCATTAAATGTATATCGTAGACAAGATTTGCCTCAAATAGATTTTGACTCACTAATGAAAACACAAAATGGCTTATTATCGTTTAATAACTTTTTCTTGACAAGTCCCGATCGAGCAGTATCACTTGCCTTTGCCGAGAGTAATAAATACAATCTTAAGTTGGTAGGCATTCTCTTTCAAATAACTATCAATCCTTCGACGTCAACTAATTCTATCACCAGCAGTCACGATGTTAGTGCATACCAGACGGAAGAAAAAATTCTCTTCTCTATACATTCTACTTTTCGCATTAGACAAACAACACAATTTGATAGGAATACGGTTGTTTTCCTATCAATTACAGATATTTATATAGAAATCCTTTTTCGTCTCTTTGATGATGATAAATAATTAAATATTCTATTTATTGTCTGCCAATTTGGTTTTACTCATTTCTGAAAATAAAAAATACAAAATTAAACAAAACATTATCAATCTTTTATTTTTTCTTTACTTCGTGTGTTTGTCAATAAATTAATTGAGACACATTATCTAGCCTACCTCTCATACAATCTATGTCATCATTTACGTCAAGTCTGCACCTCATAATTATGCGAAAGAAAATTTGAAAAGTCGATTAAATTTTTGTCGTTGACTGTATATTGTGCGCAAACAGAGTGTTTACAAGAAAGGAGTAAATAGAAGAATGTATCCTGTCCACATAATACTTAGGCAACACTTTTGTCGAAGCTATCACTTCGGCACAAAAATTGAGCAAAATTAATCAAGGTGAACCATACAGCTACTAGGAAAACAAACAATCCAAATTTAAGTTGCAGCTATACTGCAATTGTTTTATATGAAAATAGTATACCCACGAAAAAATTTACACTTCATAGAAGTAAACATTTATTTAAAACTACTTTCCTTCGTTCGGTTCTACTAAACATCCACCCAAAAATATATAAAAAAATTCAGAGAGTGGTGTGGATGTAGAGCATGGATCTGAAGTTTATCGACACCCACACTTATGCCAAGTGCATTTGATATACATATATTGACTCTATGTGTCATACAACATTTAGATAAAGCATGACACCACAAAAAAGAATGAATAAAAAATGTTAAACTGATTGTTAACGCTTAATTGTGACAAAATTTCAAGTTTAACGCGTAACATTGTTTTATTCCGATTACTTACATGCAAGTAAAATCATGTTCATAAATTTCGGAGAAAACTATGTGTCACTTCTTTTGTATATACTCACGTGGAGATTAAATCAGCAATACTTCATTAACGTCACTACCTTTTTATGACTATTGAAATCTAACATGGTTATCATTGGGTTTTTTTCTTTCTGTACACAACATGGCCACATATAAAAGATATATCAAAGTCATACTACTTTTTATTCGTCTTCAATTCGAAAACAATCTTATCAAGTGATATCCAATATAACATTCTTTAATCGTTCACTGTATCTTCGATCTATACTACAAAAGCATCCTCGAAATTACACTATTGAACATTCATTATGCAGCAATTTTTGCAATTTTCGCAGCAGTTGAACTATGGCACGACCAATAGAAGAAATCGTAATTATCGACACCGTCGACGAAAAAACAAATGGAGCTACTTCATAAATTGTGTAAAAAAGGACATTGACATATAAATAAATAAAAAATATGTTTATCTATGCACGAATTATCATCGTATATCGCGAACATACTCTGCTATCATAAAGCAAGTACATGCTTTAGATTAATTTCTTTGATTCTTCATGATACTATGGATTTATTGCTCGACATTAAAAGATATCCCATGATACTTTATTTTATCTGTTCCCTCCAATAATCATAGAGAGTTTATATGAACATGTGTCCATTCAAGAAGAATATAACCAAAAAAAGTCAATTATAATTTTATTTGAAATGATGTTACTTATGTAAAACTTTGAAAAAGAAATTAAAAAAAGACAAATATGCAACTTTTTAATTGAGTACATTTGAATATAAATAAAGCAATTAATAAAACTAAAGAATTCCACCGATTCGTTTCCGATGATTTATTATAGACGGAGCCAGCTCGCGTTGTCAAGAATCGATAATGATAAAAGACCCATTTCTATTATAGAGTTTTGAGTATGGATTTCAGTGGGTGGTGCCAGAGTTAAGAGAAGATTAGCACGCTGATGCTCAATTCATCCACCCATGCTTACAGTAAAACTGGCAGCAATGCTCAGATTCAGAACCACATCACATCGTCATCCACACCATAAACAAATCCTACATTAGTTTCGAGTTTTTGATGGGTCATATGTGGTGGAATCCTGGATTCACGTTTTGAAAATTTTGAATATCTTAATTTATTGATCAAAATGCACTTGATGTTTTGATCATTCTCGATAATGAATCGTAAGCAAATAAGCTGTTGAATAAGTATAACAATTTCTATTTGCTTGCTCTCAATCCTAAACTGTCTTTGAATGTCCTAGCGCTCTTCATGTTATACCTTAGCTAATTATCGAAAACGAAAAAATACAAAACTTGTATCCTGAGGAAAAAATTCTTTCAAAGTTCTATCGTGTGTATCACAAGTAAGTATACGCTTCATTTCCTTCTTCATGGAAACACAATCAGACAGAAATTTAATTCTTTCATGCAGAAGCAAGATATATCGCGAGCAATACTTTTGTTCATAATACTGCGTAAACAGAACATTAGGATCAATAAATATTTGGAAAGAAAGTAAATATTCAACTAAAAAGTATTAATA